TATATATATATATAGTAAACAAATATAACTCTATTTTGTTTTCTTTTAAAAATGGCATATTTACAGAATTACTAAAAAAAAAATGATTTGAACAAGTACTTCTACTGAATGCTTGATATGTTGTCAGGGTCTCAGGTGGTTTAGTTTGTTCCTGGATTAACTGGATGGACATACAGAGTCCCAAGTTGTCCATAAAAGGACAATTTAACTGATGCAGTCCCTCCTCCAAGTCCATCTAACCCCAGATGCCTTCCCAAATATTCAAATCATGGCCTTGGCTACATTTTAGAAAGAGAAATCCTCACAAGCACTCAGTAAGAAATGTAAACAAGTGAAAAAAAAACTTTTTGATAGGCTTGTTGCTATGGAATTGTATGGCACCTCCTTGTATTGCTATGGCAACAGACAATGGCTGCCTTTCAGTGTCAAATATTGTAATAGCATGTCATCCACAGGGGCAAAATCACAGCGAGTATGCAAGACATTTCCACTTGATTCACAAATAAAAAATGGTGCTCACAGCAACTTTAAGCTTGCTCCTCCAAAATATAATCACAGACTAACAAGTCAGATTGATTGCATTTATGCAACTGTCGAACAGAAGTCACACCAGAGGTTAACTGTTATTGGACACAAGACCAGCTCTAATCACTCTTCTCTCATTGATCAGCTGTTCTCTCAAAGTTGTCAATTGGATTCTGTGAAATGCTTAGTCTCTTACATAAGACAGCTGGAATAAGGACACTATACTGCTCACTTGATTTATGGATTTCATTTGCAGTTTTTAGTGAAAATATGTTAAACAGTGGATGTCTGTCAACTTCCTTCAGTTAAATGAGTCTAAGACTGAGGTCTTAATTTTTGGCTCCCCTGCTTCTACAGAGGTTGTGGCCAGTAAACTGGGACCTCTATCTGGTAATCTTCATTCACATGTCAGAAACTTAGGCATTACTTTTGACTCTGCTTTGACTTTTGATAAACAGATCAATGCTGTGGTTAGAAGTTGTTTTTATCAGCTAAAGAATATTGCAAAGATGAAGTCATTCTTAACATTAAGAGACATGGAGTCGGTAATACATGCTTTTATCTCATCCAGATTAGATTATTGTAATGTATTGTACTTGGGTGTTTCACAGTCTCTATTGTCACGTCTTCAACTTGTTCAAAATGCTGCCGCTAGATTGTTAACTGGAACAAGGAAGAGGGAACATATTTCACCAGTGATGATCTCTCTCCACTGGCTCCCAGTTAAATATCGTATCCATTTTAAAACACTGTTGTTTGTTTATAAGGGTTTGCATGGACTGGCTCCGTCATATATCTCCGATCTACTTCTGTTCCACTGTAATGCCTCCAGGGAACTTCGATCAACTAGTAGTCTTCAGTTGACTGTTCCAAGGACACGCGTGAAATCGAAAGGAGATCGTGCCTTTTCAGTGGCTGCTCCTCAGCTATGGAACATGTTGCCACCCTATATAAGAACTGCACCAACATACGCTGATTTTAAGTCTCTTCTTAAAACTTATTTATTTACTGTTGCATATGGTCATAAGTAAGCGCAGTGGCATAACTGTAGTGTACTATCTGTCGTGGTGTTCTATGTTTACTTTTGTATTTTGGTATATGCTTAAATTTTGTACAGCACTTTGGCCAACAGCTGTTGTTTTTAAATGTGCTCTATAAATAAAATTGACTGACTGACTGACTGACTGCTGCGTGGGTTCTGGCTTTGTAAATCTAAACTGTAAAAAATCAGTCCCAAAGCTTTGATCAGCAGTGTATGAAATGTGTTGTCAATTTCTCAGCTGCATTCTGAGGGTAATTACATTACATTTATGCAAAAAACAAAAAAGCAAACAATTACATTAAAAAAAAAATCTAAATGTTAAATTTAAAAAAAAAAATTTTTTATATTGTTTATATTAATCACATTTTTAAAAAAGGTTTACAAAACCTATTCTAAATACAGTTTTAAAAATCACATCTGCTCATGTTTACTTTTGTAATGTGTAAGATTTTCAGTTTTTAACTGATTCGTTTTTTGTTTTTGAGTGTTTTTGTGGTGAATTAAATCCAACTCCGGTCAAGCTGACCCACAACATGATAACAATTACATCACGAATTTTAACATGATACAAAAAAAATATATAAAAAAATATATTTTACACATTTATATTTGTAGCATTTCTGTAGTTTGAACAGTAAATCATTATGCTTACAACGCCATGGTCATGGGTTCAATTCACAGGAAAAGCATGAACTGATTTAATGTGTATCTTAAATGCAATGCAACTCACTAAAAACATTTAGTAAGTGGACTTTGATGTAGTCTTTATTAGTAGCTTGTTATTTGGTTAATGATTTACTGGTTTCAATTTAAAGTAGTTTAACACTGCTATATATATATGACTATGCATGTATTTATATATGCATATGCATGTATTTGTAAATGTGTAAGAGTACCAGACTTACAGCATTCATGATGTTTCCAGCCTGCAGCACTAAATGAAGGACATTGTGAAGCTCCTCACAGCTCAACAGCTCTGTAAACAACAGTTCAGCAGATGAATGTGAAGCTGAAGGTGTTTATACACAGAAAACTGTAAATAGTGATGGATTTTATGGGAACACAACACTGGACTGCTGAAATCAGACACTAACGGAGATCACTTGTTCACCTTTAATGGTGCTCAGGATGATGGTCATGTCATGTTTCATGACGGTGTATGAAGGGAAAAACTCTTCCTTTAACAGCAGAGCCTCGAGACGGACCTCATACCTGCAGAAACGCAGAAGAACCAGCTCAAATTAGATCTGGACCAGACCGGATCACTGCCACAAACACTGACAGCCCGTTTCCATCGTACCTGGGTAAATGGATGAGCTTGTGTATGAAAGCATCAGGCGGCGCCAGGTCTTTAGGATTCCCATTGAATATCTGAAGATTCTTCACCTGTCAACCAACCAATCAATCAATCAGTCATGAAGCAATCCTCTGCTTAAAGGTGACGTATCATGAAAATCTGACTTTTCCAGGTGTTAAGTGCTATAATCAGGTCCCTGGTGCATCTACCAACCAAGGAAACGTGAAAAAGATTAACCCAGTAACTTTGTTTTGGGAAGCCTTTTTCTGCAAGCGTCTGAAGAAACGAGTGCGTCTGATTTCGCTCCCTTGGTGACGTGGCAAAGGGATCTCATTATAATATTACCGCCCCTTAATCTGTAAGTTTACACCCACAGCGCCGT